CAGAAATAATTTTTAACCTTGCATTGCCTTGGACAGTGGAATTTGCTTAAGGGAAGAAGAAAAGCCAGCTCATTGGAATATGACATTTTACTCTGCTCCTCGGTGTAGGGACGGGGGATGTGGGTTCCATTTGGGGAGGAATGTGAGTTACCTGACTTTGCCTCCTCCTGGCTGCTTCTCTTCTGCTGTCTCAGCCACCGCCCCGCTGCAGGCCATTCAGCCTCTGGCCCACACCAGCCATGAATGTGGATTAAGCAAGAGAGGGCAGCTTGGGACTGAGGTCAGATGGGGTGGTCACATCAATGCTTCGCAAAGTTGTCTGATCCCTAACGTTGACCAGGAGCTCCGCTCCTGACTCACTGAAGCAGAACTCCCAGGGACTCTGGACTTTCACAAGGATCCTGGGTGATTCTTATGATCAGGCAAGTTTGGTAAACGTTGTCTGAGCCTTTATGTAACCAGTTACTGCTGAGTCCACTCTGGCTCATGGTGACCCCACATGTCAGGCTAGAACTCTGCTCCACTGGCTTTCCAATAGCTGATTTTATACAAGTAGATCACCAGGGCTTTCTTCTGAGGCATCTCTGATTGGCCTTGAATCTCTGACTTTTTGGAGCTCGTTAACCATCTGCACAGCCCAAGAGCTTAGATGTAGCTTAGGAGGTAGAGTGAGTACAACCTTGGCTCCTGAACTCTCTGCCCCATGACAGTCCTGGGGCAAGACACAACCAAGAAGTCTTTAGGAAGTGCAGCAGGGATATCTTATAAAGACATTGACAATCAAAGATTATGACAAAACCCAGGGACAATGTCTAGGAAAGAAGTTGAGGTTCAGGGGGCACCATTCCATGGACTTCTCCCCCAGCCCACACTTTCATGAAATCTACTGTCTGGAGCAGGTTGAAAGAGCCTTGGTGGCGTGACCATTAAGTGCTTTGGCTGCTGACCAAAAGGTCAGCAGTTTCAACCCACCAGTGGCTCTGCGGGAAAAAAGGTCTGGCTGTCTGCTTTCATAAAGATGACAGCCTTGGAAACCCTATGGGGAAGTTCTACTCTGTCACATGTGGTTGCTATGAGTTGGAATTGACTTGATGACACCCAGTAACAACAGAGCAGGTTGTCTTAGGCAATAGGTGGAGGAGTGCAGGAGAAACAGTAGGCAGTGGGAGGAAGAGACCACCCCAGGACTTTCTGCACCAGTGCATTCCAATGGCCAGAGCAGAGACCAGCAGAGAAAACCAAAGGAACCAGAGACAAAAAAGTGACAAGTTGGGTGGTCACCTGGGGGAAGCTCTATGACAGGGTGCGTTTAAAGGGGAATGTTACAGGGAACAGATGTGTGTGTTGGTGGACAGAGCGAAAGAGAGCATAGGGAGTAGCTGCAGGGTCCCATTGAGCTCCAAGACTCACCTGAGCCAAAGGTAGGGGAAGAGGCTCTTCATTAGTTTCTGAGAGTCAAGTGGTAACATGGATTTCTACCCATAATTCAGAATAAAATGGCTCCTCTCATTCATCACCTTCCAGAGGGACATTTGGGAAGAGAGTTAAGGTATTTCAGGGCTGAGGGGTGAGTGGATGGTGAGACAGTTGGGAGGTGACCTTCCTTTTAAGAAGTTTGCTAAGAAGAGGAAAGAATGGAGCAGCATGTAATAAAAAGGTCAGTTGAGCAATTGCTCCTTTGAATTCAGGGCTTTGTGTCCTATTTGAAGGTAGAGAAGATAATGGAGAGGAGCAGGGGTTCATGCTGGAGAGATTTGCAGTTTGAAGTCCCAGGAGGTGTAGTTTCTCACTTCTCACTAAAATTCCCATGAAGATGCTGAAGTAATTGAAAACTGGTAAAGGTACTAATAACTAAAACAGTCAATTGCCAGATGCTGGGAGGATAGTTCTCAAAGACCTTTGGAGCTGAATCGGAAGGGCCATCTGCAACTAAACAAACTCACCTGCTGGAAAGAAGGTGGGAAGGTGCTATGTTGCTTCCCTACTGCCTGCACTACCTTGAGACCTGAGTGTTGGTTTGCTACGTGGTTCTATTTTAAAGGTGGCCATTATAATATCAGGAGCTCTGGTGGTAGGGTGGTTAAAGCTTTCAGCTGTTAACTGAAAGGTTGCTAGTTCAAACCCACCAGCTGCTCTGAAAGAAAAAGATGAGGCAATCTGCTTCAGTAAAGATTTACAGCCTTGGAAACCCTATGGGGCAGTTCTATTCTGTCCTAAAGGGTCTCTATGAATCATTCAACTCAGTGGCAATGGGTTAGGTTTTGGTTTTGTTCTAATTTTGCTGCCCACTTTCCTTGCCTTCATCAGTATTGTCTTTGTTTGACCCGAGAAAGCAACTGATGTGTTGGGAAAGGGGGTTGGGGAGAATTTGCAACGGTCATTTTCTCCTGAGATATGCAGCCCCAAGTATAGTCTTGTAGAGTTAGGGGAGAAGCAGAAAGAGTCCTCTCCCTTGTATATGATGGAGATTTTTAAAATGGACTTTCTCAGCTAGGGTATCCCAGAACCAGGCAATGAGTGTGGGAGAAGATACCTTCTCAACCCACCAGTGCCGTGCTGACTAATTTGCTTCTAGACACTGGAAATTTGACTATGTGCTGCATACACATTTTGCTTCCAGCTTTTAATCTGAGAAGACTCTACCAACACCCAGTGACCAAGTCATACACCTAGTATTTCAGCAACTTCTTAGTTCCAGGATTTGGAAACAGGAGAGAAGCCCAATAATATGGAATCAGTGAAAAAGAAATTTTAGAAGAAGGGAAATAGACCCACCCAAGATTTAAGAAGGAACAAACACCCCAAAATGAATTATTATAGAAACCAGAAGAAAATACTCAGTAGGGATTAACATTCACATTTTCAAAGCAATTTCCTTGATATGGAAATGTGACCATTATTGAGTGAAAATAAGTTACTGTATGACCTTGAGCAAGTTTCTTACCTTTTCGAGTTTAATTTCCTTATTTGTCTATCAGGGAATATAATTCCCCTGACATAGGATCATTTTGAGATGTAATGATCTATTCCCATGAAGATTATAGACTTGGAAACCCTATAGGGCAGTTCTTCTCAATCATATAGGTTGCTTTGTCATACAGATTCAACTCACTGAACACTAATGACCGTAGACCAGACAAGTTGTGGGATGACATCAAGGACGTCATATATGAAGAAAGCAAAAGATCATTAAGAAGACAAGAAAGCTTCCCCATCCTCACTTCTAAGGAGCACTCTGGTTGTACTTCTTCCAAGACAGATTTGCTCATTCTTCTGCTAGCCCATTATGTTTTTAGTGTTCTTTACTAACATCATAATTCAAAGGCATCATTTCTTCTTCAGTCTTCCTAATTAATTGTCCAGCATTAGTATGCGTATGAGGCGATTGAAAATACTGTGGCTTGAGTTAGGTGCATGTTAGTCCTCAAAGAGATATCTTTGTTTTGTTTTTTAACACCTGAAGAGGTCTTTTGCAGTAGATTTGCCCAATGCAGTATGTCATTTGATTTCTTGACTGCTGCTTCCACGGACGTTGATTGTGGATCCAAGTAAAATGAAATCCTTGACAACTTCAGCCTTTTGTCTGTTTATCATGATGTTGCTTATCGGTCCAGTTGGGAGGTGTTTTGGTCTCTAGTCCTGCTCTAACAGACATACCACAAATGTATGTCTTTAACAAACAGGGATTTATTCTCTTACAGCTCAGGAGGCTAGAAGTCTGAGTTCAAAATGCCAGCTCTAGGGTCTGGGTGAAGGCCCCTTGACGTTGGATTCAGCTCTGCCTCTTGCTCCTGGCCCACTGAAGCTGGAGGCTTTTCTTAACTCAGGCAGCTCCTGGCTGCTGAGGCTGACAAACCCAAGGTTAACAAGTAAAATGGCACAATCCAAAGATTATCAAGCAACACTGCTGATCACTAGTTCAAGTCCAAAAACAGTTCCAAGATTGGCAGACAACATGGCAGGCCACTCACTGATGACCCAGCCAAATGCAGGATCCAAGCATGCCAAAAGCTCAAGACCTTTCTCAAAGCATCTTCTCATAGACTGTAAGGAGACCACATCCCTAAGGCAGCTACCCAGCTGCTCCAGCTGCTCACAATAGATTCTACCATGGAGTTGATTACTAGTCTCATCATGTAGAATAGCTGCATCCAGCTGCTCAGCCACTCAAAACCAGGGCCAGCCAAGTGGACACATAACCTTTTTTTTTGTTTTAAATTCTGATTTGGGTGAAAGTTTACAGAGCAAATTCATTTTCTATACAGCAGTTCATACACAGTTTGTTTCATGATATTGACTGCAATTTTCTACAATAACAGCTTTCTTCCAATTTCCTTCCTGTAGTCACCTCTTCCCTGTGTCCTTCTTTCCTATGCATTCCCGCCCCCTGAGCTATCTCCCTGTATAAACACTGCCATTCTGTTCTCCCATGATTGATCACTCTAAGGAGTGTATCTACATGATGTAAATGGTCACCATATATGCATGTCTGTTGCTTGGCTGGAAGCCACAAGAGTGACTTCAGTACCAGACCTGAAGGGTAACTAGGGGCCATAGTCACAGAGGTCTCACCAGGCTCTATCAGACCAGGAAACCTGGTCTAATTTTTATGATTTTGAGTTTTGTTCCACATTGTTCTCCCACTCTATCCATGATCTCCTGAACAGATCTCTTTCTGAGTGGTTGACAGTGGTAGTGGGTACCATCTAGTCCTTCTGGTCTCATGGTCATATAGGCTGAGGATTGTATGGTCTACTAGTCCCTTGGACTTAGTGTTTCCATGCATCTTTGGTTTTCTTCCTTTTTTGCTCTGGACAAGAAGAGACCCACTGTTGCATCTAGTTGTCCAGCCACTTGCAAACTTTTAAGACTCCAGTCACAACTCACCAAAGTAGGATATAGAACAATGTTTTTGTGTAGTATGTTATGCCAATTGAGCTTGCTGTCCCCTGCCACCATGGTCCCAACAGATGGTTTTGTGTTTTGGGTCTCTCCCTCAGTTCAACCTGGTGTGTGCTGATTCCTGGAAGGTGGACCTGTTTCAGTCCTGTGTGAACGTGGGCTTCTTCCTTGGCTCCCTGGGAGTTGGTTACATTGCAGACAGGTACGTAAAGGCCAGTTCAGTCAAACATGTCATCAGTGCTGTGAGGAGAATATATGTTCTAGGGGTAACAGAGGAAGAGAAGAATAATTAGAGTTTGTCACAGAAGTTGGTGGAGAGAAGAATTGATAGTGCTTCTAACTAGTTTGGTGGCGGGAGGTGGAGAAACATAAGGAGGTTTGAGGGACATTTCAGAATTTGAGACTAAGTATAGATTGTATGCACCACTTGTCTGTCAGTTTATCATACTGTGGTATCTTGTGCGTTGCTGTGAGGCTAGAGGCTCATAGCGACCCTTTAGGACAGAGTAGAACTGCCCCATAGGGTTTCCAAGGCTGTAAATATTTACTGAAGCAGATTGCCTCATCTTTTTCTTTCAGAGCAGCTGGTGGGTTTGAACTAAATACAAGCAGGGTCACAAATGGACAGGTTTCAGTGGAGCTTCCAGACTAATACAGACTTGCAAGAAGGAAGGGGCAATCCACTTCTCAAAGAATTGGCCAGTGAAAACCTTATGAATAACAGTGAAACGCTGTCTGATATATTACTGGAAAATGTTATGAGTAACCTGAAACATTGTCTAATGTTTTTCTGGAAGGTGAGACTTTCAGGTCTGAAAGCACTCAAAATACAACTGGGGAAGAACTGCCTCCTCAAAGTAGAGATGACCTTAATGATGTGGATGGAGTAAAACATCTGAGACCTCTATTTGCTAAAGTGGCATGACTCAGAATGGGATTAAATAGCTGCACATATCCATTAATAATTGTAACATGGAATGTGCGAAGTATGAATCTTGGAAAATTGGAAATTGTCAAAAATGAAATGGAATGCATAGTGATCTATATCCTAGGCATTAGTGAGCTGAAATGGACTGGTTTTGGCCATTTTGAATCAGACAATTTTCTGGTCTACTATGCCAGGAATGACAAATTGAAGAAGAATGATGTGGCATTCATTGTCACAAAGAATGTTTCAATATCTATCCTGAAGTACAATGCTGTCAGTGATAGGATACTATCCATATGTCTATAAGGAAAGCCAGTTAATACTACCATTATTCAAATTTACACACCAACCATCAAAGCCAAAGAAGAGGAAATTGAAGATTTTTACCAATTACTGCAGTCTGAAACTGACCCAACATGCAATAAAGATATGCTGATTATCACTGGTGATTGGAATGCAAAAGTTGGAAACAAAGAAGAATCACTGGTAGATGGAAAATTTGGCCTTGGAGATAGAAATAACACTGGAGATCGCATGATAGAATTTTTCAAGACCAATAATTTATTCATTGCAAATACCTTATTCCACAACACAAGTGGTGGCTATACATGTGGACTTTGCCAAATGGAGTACACAGGAATCAGATTGACTACATCTGTGGCAAGAGGCAATGGAGAAACTCAATATCTTCAGCCAAAACAAGTCCAGGAGCTGATTGTGGAACAGGCCATCAACTGCTCATATGCAAGTTCAAGTTCAAGTTGAAGACAATTAAAACAAATCCTAGAGAGCCAAAATATGACCTTAGTATAGACATCCTGAATTTAGAGACCATCTAAAGAATAGATTTGATGCATTGACACCACTGACCAAAAACCAGATGGATTGTAGGATGACATCAGGAACATCATCCATGAAGAAAGCAAAGGTCATTAAAAAAACAGGAAAGGAAGAAAAGACCAAAATGGATGTCAGAAGAGACTCTGAAACTTGCCCTTGAGCGGAGAGTAGCTAAAGCAAATGGAAGAAAGGACAAGATAAAAGGGCTAAACAGAAGATTTCAAAGAGGAGCTTGAGAAGACAAAGTCCATTATAATGAAATGTGCAAAGACATGGAGTTGGAAAGCCAAAAGGGAAGCACACACTCAGCATTTCTCAAGCTGAAAGAACTGAACAAAAAATTTAAGCCTTGAGCTGCAATATTGAAAGAGTCTACGGGCAATATATTTGATGATACAGGAAACACTAAAAGATGGAAAGAATACACAGAGTCACTGTACCAAAAAAAATTGTATGATGTTCATCCATTTCAGGAGGTGGCATATGATCAAGAACCAATGGTACTGAAGGAAGAATTTGAAGCTGCACTGAAGGAAGTGGTGAAAAACAAAGCTCCAGGAAGTGATGGGATATCCATTGAGAGGTTTCAACAAATGGATGGCACACTGGAGGCACTCACTCGGCTATGCCAAGAGATTTGGAAACAACTACCTGGCCAACTGACTGGAAGAGATCCATATTTGTACCCATTCCAAAGAAAGGTGATCCCACAGAATGTCGAAATTATCGAACAACATCATTAATATCACATGCAAGTAAAATATTACTGAAGATAATTAAAAAACAGTTACAGCAGTATATTGGCAGAGAACTTCCAGAAATGCAAGTTGGATTCAGAAGATGTAGAATGAGAGATATCATTGCTGAGGTCTGATGGATCTTGGCTGAAAGCAAAGATCACCAGAAAGATGTTTACTTGTGTTTTATTGACTATTCAAAAGCATTTGATTGTGTGGATCATAACAACTTACGGATAACATTGAGAACAATGGGAATTCCAGAACACTTAATTGTGCTCATGAGGAACTTGTACAGAGACCAGGAGGCTGTCATTCGAACATAACCAGGGGACACTGCATGGTTTAAAATCAAGAAGGGAGTGTATCAGGGTTGTATCCTTTCACCATACTTACTCAATCTCTGTGCTGAACAAATAATCTGAGAAGCTGGACTGTATGAAGAAGAATGTGGCATCAAGAATGGAGGAAGATTCATTAACGACCTGCATTATGCAGATGAAACAACTTTGCTTGCTGAAAGTGAAGATGACTTGAAATATTTACTGATTAATATTGAAGACTACAGTTTGCAGTATGGGTTACATCTCAATATAAAGAATACAAAAATCACAACGGGACCAATAAACATCTTCATGATAAATGGAGAAAAGATTGAAGTTGTCAAGGATTTCATATTACTTGGTTCTACAATCAACACCAATGGAAGCAGCAGTCAAGACATCAGACAATGTTGTTGTTGTTGTTGTTGTTATGTGCCGTCGAGTCAGACCCAATCATGGTGACCCCTCCTTGGGTTTCCGAGGCAGTATCACTGTGGAAGTAGACTGCCCCATCTTCCTTCCTAGGAGTGGCTGGTGGGTTTGAACTGCCAACCTTCTGGTTAGCAGTCAAGTGTCTTAGGCACTATGCTACTCAGGCAATGTATAGCATTGGGCAAATCTGCTGCAAAGGACCTCTTTCAAGTGCTGAAGAGCAAAGTTATTTCCTTGAAGACTAAGGTGTGCCTGATGCAAACCATGGTATTTTCAATAGCCTCATATGCATGTGAGAGCTGGACAATGAATAAGGAAGACCAAAGAAGAGTCAATGCTTTTGAGTTGTGGTGTTGGTGAAGAATGCTGAAAGTACCATGGACTGCTGAAAGAACTAACAAATCTGTCCTGGAAGATGTGCAGCTGGAATGCTTCTTGAAAGCAAGAATGGTCAGACTTTGTCTCATCTACTTTGGTCATGTTGTCAGAAGGGACCATTCCCTGGAGAAGGATATCATGCTTGATAATGTGAAGGAACAGTGAGGAAGGGGAAAGCCCTCATTGAAATGGATTGACCCAGTGGCTGCAATGATGGGCTCAGGTATAGCAAAGATCATGGGGCTGGCAAAGGACTGGGCAGTGTTTTGTTCTGCTGTATATAAGGTCATTATGAGTCAGAGATGACTCAATGACACCTAACAACAACAACAGCAACAAACTATGCATGTGAAACTGGACAATGAATGAGGAAGACAGAAGAAGAGTTGAAGCTTTTGAGTTGTGGTGTTGGCAAAGAATACTGAAAGTACCATGGACTGTCAGAAGAATAAACAAATCTGTCCTGGAGGAGGTACAGTCAGAATGCTCCCTGGAAGTGAGAATAGCCAGACTTCATTTCACCTATTTTGGTCATGCTATCAGAAGGGACCATTCCCTGGAGAAAGATATCATGCTTGGTATAGTTCCCCACCCTCATCAATATGGATTGACACAGTGGCTGCAACAGTGGGCTCAGGTATAGCAAGGATTGTGAGGATGGTGCATGACTGGGCAGTGTTTCGTTCTGTTGCACATAGAGTTACTATGACTCAGAACCAACTCAATGGCACCTAACAACAACAAAGATTTTACAGTAGAAATTGGCTTAGGTTGCTGAGAAAGAGGGGACTCAAAGGCAAAGTTTATGCTTTGAGCAAACAGATGAGAGTAATGACATTTTTGAAGATGGGAAAGGGTGGATTAGGAACTGACTTTTGTTAAAACTCATTGTAGGGGAAGGGATTGGGGAGGAAGTATGAGTTCTCTTTCAGGTGTGTATTTGTAGATGTGTTAAGTGTAGACTGTGACAATGGATACTGGTGATGGTTATAAACTGACTGATGTAATTGGTGTCACTGAACTCTACACATGAAAGTTATTGAATTGGCAAATGTTATGTTACCTATATTTTTGCAACAATAAAAAAAGAAAACACTAAAGTAAAAAGGAAAAATAGAGTAGTCTGTCGCACAGATAAAAAAAGAGAAGATGTCATGTAGGCAGTTGATATATGAGTTGAGTTTGGAAGAGAAGTTTGGGCTTGATTTAAATACTTGGTATTTGTCACCAGTAAAGCCATAACACATGCTTGAGATCATCTAGAAGAGGATTGAGAGAGAACATCAAATTTGGAGGTTGGTAAGGAGGAGTTACTGGCAAAGGAAGGAGATTTAGAAGAAATGGTAGAGACAGAGGAGAAGGCAAGGGTGATATATAGACAGGATCACATGTGCAGATGCTACTGAGAGGTCAGCCTGTGGCTATGTGGACATGGCTGCCATGAACACCCATGATGAGGACAGTGTCAATGGAAGGCTGAGGAAAATGTCAGTTTGAAAGTGGAGGCAGATTGTGTGGGCAGACTGATTTTTAAAGGGGCTGACTGTGGAGGAGAAGAAATTGGGAAATAGCTGGAGAGGGATGGAGTGTCCAGGATCTGGGTGGCATCTGAAGAGAATGACCCAGAGGTGAGGGGAATGGAAAAGGCGGAGGGGAGAATGTGGCCAAGGCCAGTCAGAGGCCAGAGTGAGAGCGGGAGTGGCCTTGGGTAGTTGTCTGTCAGGTGCTGACAGTGCAGTTAGGTCTGTGCATTCTGAGAGGAGATGGTGGGATGAAACAATGTCTGTATTTTCTGTACGTCAGGAAGTTTATTGGCTGAGAACTGGGCTAGATGTGGGGCAGTGCTGAGACAGGGACAATTTGAAGTAAGAAGCCCTGGTAGACACACGGAAGGTGGGGTACTAAAGAGTGGTGGGGTGGCTGCAGTGTTGAGAGTCCTTCTGAGTTTGGGGTCACGAATGCCAAGGTCACAGTGCTTGGATGGGAGACACCATGGCTTGCTTTCTTGCCTTACTCTTAGAGAATGTGACAAAAGATTTAGTTGATAAAACATGATACACGAGTAAGTCTTAGCAAATAATTTACCCATTTCATCCATGAAAACAGGAAAGGAAGAACAGTCCACAAAATTACATTTATATTTATCTATATAGTGGCATAGTGGATCCAATATTTGGCTGCTAACCACCCTGCCATGGTCCTTGTGTTTCACTGTGCGGGGCTGACCCCACATTCCTGCCACCTCGCCTCATCCTCTTTTCCCCTTGACTATGAAGGTTTGGCCGCAAAGTCTGTCTCCTGGTGACTGCCCTCATCAATACCATCTCAGGAGCTCTCATGGCTATTGCACCAAACTACGCATCGATGTTACTGTTCCGCTTCCTGCAGGGGCTGGTCAGTAAAGGCAGCTGGACAGCTGGCTACATCCTGAGTAAGTAATGGCTGGCTGAGGTGTCCATGGCCAGGTGTCCATAGCTTCTTTTGGAAAATGGAGCTTAGATAAGGGGGTAGAATGGGATGGAGTCAAACATGGAAGCAGTCTTTTTAGGGAGGTGATGTTGACAGAATCTAGAGAAAGCGTTAATGCTGGGTGTATGTTGTAGATGTGATGGGCAGAAGATGGTGCCAGGAACTAAGCTGAGTGAGAGAGCTGAGCTGCTAGGTGTCAGAGTAGCCAATTAGGACAGTGAGCCAATACCAATACTGTACATTTTAATC